TGCAGATCCTCGAGCCTACACAATGCAGAACGAAGTTTCCACCGCGTTAAATAGTACATGATACATCTGACCCTGCAAGTTGAAACATTCTGACTAGAAAGAGAAGTTCGTTTAATTCGCTGGGGCATAAGAATTTAAACAGCCAGATACACCAACCGCACGAAACGTACTTTAATTTTATGGCGTCAGCCTTGTCTATCTGTCTTCTATTCGTCTGCCTGAGGCCCGAATAAGGATAAATAAATGCCAGAATATGAACGCTTCTAATGGATTGAATGCGGCGGGATTATGGCGACCCAGGCAGGGATGGATTTACATCTGCTCCACAGCATAAGGAAAGTAAAGAATGCATGAAATCAAAACCTGTCTGGTCTTACACTCTTCTTGGACGCCGAAAAAGCGCAATGATAAACATAACTGTAGTTCTTTTCTATACTCTGACGCCAATCATAAAGTAGATCATTCTCCAAAATGTCCAGTGAAGATCATTGGAAGGGGGTGCAGCGTTTGGGAGGACATAGGTACCCAGTGGTTTAATACACCACCGACAGGTTTGTCACCAGTCATAGTTGCAGAGGCGACGAACGTTTTTTACTTCAGCCAAAAGGGCTAGATCAGCTATGTTTGCAACAAGGTTTAAAAACCCGGAATGACAACTTCTGACTTAGTATCCCAGTAAGGTGAGAACTGTCACACCTTATAATGCAAAGGAACGTTCGTAGAGATTTCCCTAAAGGCCGTCGCTCAATGTGAGGAGCCTGACGAGAAGCAAATACATCTAAGATCAAAACCTGGTGAACGAACCACCGAAACTAGGCCTAATGACCATTTTCAGGATTATTTCACCCTAAAAGACTGAGCTTTACAAACTTTTCTCTATGGAGATGTGTAACTCTTTAGATACGGACGGCAGGCTTGTCCGCTGTGAGAATTATTAATCTTTCCTAGGTCTGACTTACGGGGAAAGTCTAATCCAAACTGATCTGTCTTTTTTGAGGCTGCCAGGTAAATAATATGGAAACAGAACATGGGCAACGCCGACAGACAATTTTATATAATCACCGGCCCCAAAACTTAGCCTCTTCGGGGCGCGTCAAACGGTCGAAAAACGTTTATTTATATGACTCAGACGGTGGCGGACTGTTTCACTAGCTCTTAAAAGCACGGCTTGCCAGAATGAAAAGGCCCTTTGCCGGTTTTTTTTTAACTCGACGTGCCTGACTGATGCCTGCGATGCCTCTCTAGCAAGCGTAACTATAGAGTCATCTGTGGCTTTAAAAATGCTCCCCCACGGAAAATGAAGTTCAAGTATATCCGACACAAAAACCGAGTGGATTTGGACCCTTGTTCTAAATCTCAAAGAAAGGCCTGATGAAATTAACAATGGACTGGAAATTTCTTAGTGCGTTCAACGCGCCCTATCCGCACAACAGAGCTGATGCCAGTCAGTCAACCTTCTGCAAAAGGGACGCCAGCCAAACCATCGTCCATGAAGTGATACCAGTTGGTTCATATTGTAAAATACGATCTCTAAAGTATATGCCTGACCTTTTGCAGTGCATAGGACTCCAAAAGAAGTAATAACATCCAGGGTGGTTTTGTTCCGCATCAGCCTGGGCCAACGTCAGAGCGTACCCTGGAAAGACGTTCTTTTTAATCAGAAATTGACTTCCCACTTCCTTGATTTTCCCGTGAGTCCGGTTATTGCGGCATAGACTGTTGTTTAAAAATGCTGAGGGTAACAGTGCCCTCAAATTTCTCATTTTCAACTAAGCCTGATGGCGACTGAAGCGGGCAAAGGGGGAATGTACATCAAAGCCATCGTTGGCGTTCATCAACATAATTTTAAGCAGGCCCTACGACTACTGCATTAGGAACCTAATTAAGTCCCACGAAATAACCAAGTCATCTAAATCAATTCACAATTCTTTCATCAGAATGAAACTGAACGAATTTCGGCACATGCCCGACCACATCTTACTAGACCAGGCGCAAGACGAACTAATTTCAAATGGGCAACTTGATTATGCCCATTTCCTAAGCAAATCATAGCAACAGAGAGATCGGTGACGGCAGTGACGGAGTTTGTGACAAAATGCTTTTAACTAAACATAAAGTTTTGCGGTTGTAGAGATTTCCAGTACTAAATGCAAAACTCCAATAAATCGTAATTTTTTGAACACCTTCGCAACTTATCTTTCTACTGCTACTGTTCTTAACATTCTGCTGAGGTAATTGATAGGTGAAGGTATGCTTTAAAAGCATGCATTTAGTCACGTTTACGAAATTAGTGGAGACGATTTAAAAGAACGACTGCTTCAGAAAATAGTCCCAAGACTATCTTCCAGCTGTCATTAAACGCGAATACATTGACGTTCACAAGATGGAATTTGTCAGGCGCATATTGTCCAGAATGAAGACATATTATATCCTGGATGATTGCTGACGGGGACCGGGCAACTGGTATTTCAAAGTCTGTCCCTGTTGCCATGAACATTGACAATAAAATG